CAGGTCAGGCAGCAGCTCCCTTGGCTTAAAGAGCAACCCCTGATGAGGATTTGCGCTGGCTTCTGCACTTGTAATTAAATTAGTGCTGCCTCTGTGCATCCATGACCCACCTTTCTCCATCGCCCCACGGCACGGTGACCAGCCCAAAGGACAGGATAGAGGTCTCAGCTGCACCTCAGACCGGGTCCAAAGAGCCTGTCATCAGCATCAGCCAGCACCCAAACACGTGCTGGTGCCATATCATTCCCAGACACCCACAACAGCGGCCACTTCACTCGCTTGCTGCTCTGACTGGTTGCATCCCTTTGAGCCCCAGTAGATGAAAATCCACAGGAATGTGCAAAAGGAAGACACTACTCCAAGCCATGGGGGAGAGGGGTGCATCACTCCAAGCACTGAGAGACAGTGCTGAACCCCTGGGCTTGTCCCAAAATCCCTGCATCCCCTCCAGCCAGGCCGACCTGCCAGCTATGGGTGGTGGCTCCAACACTACTCTACGGGAGATGCACAGGGACAACCAGAGTGCCAGCCAGCCCAGCTGGACCACAGGGCTGCAGAACAGGAGAGCCAGGAAGGTGCTGCAAGTTGGAAGATAAACTCAGCAGCAGAGCTTATCGAGGCATCCTCCTCCTCTCCCGTGGGAAAGCAATGCCCAGCCCTTGCCAATCCCTCTGCAAAGCTTCCTATTGGAAGTTTCTGGCACTGGGAATGGTTGCCAGCACAGGATTAGCAGCCTGTTGATTTAAAGAGCTTATTACAGGAGCTTAATTCTATTTTGACAGATGAAAGTAAGTCAATTACAGCTAGAAATAGCTCAGAATTTGGGTTGTGGGGTGTTTTTTTTTTCTTCCTCTCCTCTCTTTCTGTGAGTTGTGGTATCATTTCCTTCCCTTTCTTTATCTCAAAGCCAGAACTTTCTGTAAGCTGCCTCTCCAGCCCAGTGAAGCTTCAAACACAGGCACTTGGGGCAGACATGGTTCTTCTCGACCATTATTGTTTAGCAAGAGCCTACCCCATCCCCAACCTATTCACATGGAAGTCTCATCCCTTGAACTCTCTTTTCTTTTATAACCTCTCCATCCCCACCACACCTGTGTCTCCCACAAGCCTGAAGTTGCAATAAGGGAGCAAAAAGACCCCTTCCTTCCCTCCCACTAAATCCATTCACTACTACCCTGCCCTAATTATCTGACCAGCAGGACCAGACCATGTCAGTCCCTTCCCTGGGCTGGTCATTCAACATGAGCAGTGCAATTAGTACCATCACAGGAGCATCCAGGACCAACAGCCTTGGTCCTCTGCCACCACCAAGCCTGTCCGTGCTGCCATGAGCTCCCTGACCCGAGGAGCTGTGCAAGATTTCCATGTGTTGCTCAAGCATAAGGTGACAAACCTTGTCACTAGCTCAGCAAACCACAAAACATACACGTCTCCAAAGAGAGCCCTAACTATAGGTTGAGGAGTTATCATGGTGACACCCAGGCTTACAGCCAGCAAAGTGCTGGAAGATGACTTATTGCATGGCTAAAAGACCTCACACTCCAAAGATCAGAGCGAGGAGCCCCTGCTTGCAAGGTGGTCTCCAGTTCTCATCTAGGGACCAGCCACCACCCATGGAGTCCTCCTCCCAGCCTGTAGAAAGAAACAGCTCGCGCCGTTTGCATCCAGCACAAACCCATCAATCGCTCTCCAGCTCAGGAAGCTCATGAGATCCTGGCTCCCAGCACACCAGAAACGCTCTCACCCTCGGACAGCGTGCAGCAGGCGCAGTGAGGGGTAGGCAGTCCTGACGTTGATGTGATGCTTCAAGATGAGCTCGTTCACCCACTCCACTCGCTCCTTGCCCCCCTTGGCCATGAACGCCGGGATCCAGAGGATGCTGCCGTTGAGGCTGTGGAGGCGTTGCAGCAGCTTCTCCCTCCAAGTCTCGTTCACCAGGTCCTCGAAGGCCCGTTGGATGACCGAGGGGTTCATAGTCACCAGGTCCGTCTTCATGCCCACGTCCTGTGAGTATTCCTGCACAGGGGCCAGATTGCACCTGCGAGGGGAAACACCGAACAGCCTCTTATGATGGGCGTGAGAGAAGGCAGTGACAAACACAAAGGGCGTTTGATGCCAAAAGCTGGGACCAGTGACAGATGTGCCCAGTTGCCCTTGCTTTTGCAAGAAGGAGGAGGGAGAATGAGTCTCTGCAATATATTAGAGAGGCTCAGCCCTGGTAACGATGCGCCACCCTAATATAAGGTCATCGTTCCTCAACACGCTGGCATGTGCACGCACATTCCTCTGGAGCAGTGCTAATAACAGACATAACTTTGGTGTCTGGTGGGTGGGTTTGTACGGATCGGTATCTCTTCTGGTGTAGTTCAAAAATAACACATAGCAACAAACCTACTATCTTTGCTGGTTTTAAATGAAACGGCCTTTCCCACGCATGGAAAGCACTCGCCTCCTAATTCTAGCCTTGCTGGGTAATATTATCCCAGCTCCTTTTTCTCCTCCTGGTGAGTCTCTGCTAACAGCAGACCCGGTGGCACCAACAGTGACAATGACACGAGCAGGGGGTGGATGCCAGGACATAGTCTCCACAGGCTGTCTGGAGGCTGTGACCTTCAAAAACCATCTCTGAAATATTAACTGGTGTCTCCTCTCAGGCTGTGCATGTGTATACATGCACACACGCTCCCCTGGGAGCTCTCTGCCAGCTCCTGTGCCATGCCAGGGACAAAGGCTGTGGGATAAACTGCCAGCAATCACCCTTGTTTTATGGTGGTTTCCTACAGCTCCTTGAGGTGGGATCCGTGGCTGTTAAGCTGTGGCTGTGCCATGCAGGTGGCACTGGGTAAATGGCACCAGTGAGCAGCTGATGGCAGGATGCTGAGAGATGCTCCCCCAGCATGGGGAAAAACACAGGGTACCCGTGTATTCACACACTGTCTGCTCTCCTGCGGCGTTTTACAGGGAAGTTACAGTATTTAACGAGCAGGAATTGCATCCTAACCATCTGCCTCGATAATCAGCCATTACTGCTGTTTTCCCTACTTTACAGATGGGGAAACTAAGGGAATGCTGTAAAGAAAATCCAGCTACTGGCATGCGGGGCCCTTCTGATCCACTCATTGCAGGAGTAAAATAGCCAAAAATAAATAAACATTGGATCTGAAGAGTGAAGCTGTAGCCTGGACACAGAGCCCATCGCTGGTCACTGCCAACCCTGCTGGAAAGGCTGCCTGGATGGAGCAAACCTTCCTCAGGAAGATGCAGGTTCCAGCGGTGGCTCAGATAACCTACGGTGGGAAGAGCATGTCCATGCCAGACCTGCGCTAGTACACATGGCTGGGGAGAAGTCCCTCAAAATCCCAATCCTTACACCCAGAAAAGCTTTTTTTCTGCAACTTTGCCACCCAACATCAAAGCCCCTCCCTAAACTTTGCCAGAATTGCAATTAGCAATTTTTCCCTTTGCTCCCTCTTGTTACACATAAGGATGCAAATGACAATGCCGCATCCCCTGCAGCCAGGCAGGCTGGAGCAGCCAGGTTTGAGCAGGGGCAGAGGTGACATTATCCTGGTTCCCACGTCACGCCAGGAACCGCCTCTGTGAGCCGCTGATGGATTGGGCTGTCTTCATAATAGACTCACCAGCAAGCAAATGTCTGCACATCCATAAATCATCAGCAGACTCCTACGGGACCCTCTGCTAGCAGATGTACACGGGTGTTGGGGATGGGAGGGCGGGCACGCTCCTCCTCTCCACTTCAAGCATCTTCTGTACTGGATTTAGTGTGTGCCCCAGTGGGGGGTCAGGATCTGCTGCTGCAGATCCATGGGGCAGTGCATCTGAGGGGTCACCGGTGCTGGGACAGAGTGGTCAACGGAAAAGTCAGACCTGGGCGTGCACGAGGGTGGTGCCACGGCACAAGTGCTCAAGGGCAGAAGTGACCTGGGGAAGGATAGAGCTTGTGTCCATGCAAGAGCCCAGGACAGGGTTGGTTTTTAAGAGGGTAAGTATATGGGAAAAGAGGAGGGAGTGCTTGGGTCTGGGGGTGCTGGGGGTTACCGGTGCCCTGGGGCGTTAACGGTGCACCATGAGGACACGCGGGGTGCATTTGCAAAGGGAACACTTGGTTGGAAGAAGAGTTTGCAGCAAGAGGTTCGTATCGGTGAACTCCAGCCCCTTTCCACTGCTCCAAACACCCCTGGAAGTCCCCCAAAACCCATCGTGCGGCAGGACACAGGCTCCTACCTTATCACAAAGCTGTGGGCGTCAATCTCAGGGCCGCAGCCGCTGCTGAGCAGGACCCCCGAGTTGCCCACGATGGCGCAGGTGGGGAACTGCTTGCCCTTGAGGGGCGAGGTGCGGGGCAGCAGCTCATAGAGGTTCTGCGAGACGTTCATGGTGCTGTCCCTGTCAAAGACGTAGTGGATTATATCCCCCGGCTTCAGTGTCCCCTTCAGCACCGAAATGTCCTTCTCTGGCCGCAGCCGCTGCTGAGCAGGACCCCCGAGTTGCCCACGATGGCGCAGGTGGGGAACTGCTTGCCCTTGAGGGGCGAGGTGCGGGGCAGCAGCTCATAGAGGTTCTGCGAGACGTTCATGGTGCTGTCCCTGTCAAAGACGTAGTGGATTATATCCCCCGGCTTCAGTGTCCCCTTCAGCACCGAAATGTCCTTCTCTGCATCCAGGAACTTCAAGATCTGTTTCCTGAGGACAGGGAAGAAAACGGCCCCATCGGGTGAGGTACAGAGATAATTTGGGTCACACATAAGATGAACTCTTGCCTCCTGCCTGCTCTCACCCCATGACCCATCCCAGCCGATGCATGCTCTCCAGGAACAGCTTACAAATGGATATCTCCATCTTAACGCTCGCTCCTTCTCCACCCACCCCCTCCCAGGGCAGGTCAGCACAGCCAGCCCACCCTTAGTGGGGGTCCCCATATATACCCTGGGGAGAGGGTTTCTTTCCCCCCTCCACGGCCCCCAGCCAGCACGCACACTAATCCCACTTGGCTGGGACAACGGGGACTCAAGTGCTTCTTGCTCATCATGGCAAGGCCAGCTGGTTCAGCTGGGAATCCATTTCCAAGTGATCGCTTACATATATGAAGCCTGGCTCAGCAGGACATAAGCCTTTTATTTCTTTAGATGATATACAGAGGCAATTTGCCAGCTTGCACTGGAGAGGACCAAACGTGTCTCTTGTCCTGTAGGTAATTACCAGTACCTGATCCTCAAAGAGAGTGTCTGGTTGTGTCTCCATTTGGATGAGGCTGGTTTAATGTTGTGCTTAATGCTTTCATTACTTCTGTCAACAACAGCTGGAGACGAAGAATCATTTATTACTACTTCAGCTCTAGAGAAAAGAAAGACAGGGAGAGGGAGAGAGACAGGATTCGTTAGCATCCCAATGGCACTTCTAATCACTGTCTTTGGCTCTGGCTGCTGGAACTCAAACTTCATCAGAAAAAGCAAAATTGTCATTATTAGCTAAACAACAACGGAGAGCCTGTTTGTATTCTGCTACACTCACGCAGACGGACACAAATCCTTAAATACCTGCTGGCTTCCACCAACGCAGCCTTACAGCCAGGCACAGCTCTCCAGCAAACACAGTCTTACACCTCTAGCTGCTGAAATGCATGCACACAAAAACACAAGCAGGTGCTGCAAAGACAGGCTGGCAGACGCACACTTGCAGACAAGACACCCCAGAGCCCCAGGGAGCACCCGCAATTCACCAACACACTCCCTACACAGGCAGCTGAGGTTGCCAACATGCTGCCTTGTGCTTGCCCATGAGCAGCCCAAGGTGGGGCCAGCTCAGCTCTAGGTTAAAATCCTTGTGAGAGGAGTGCTACCTTCATTTCACCCAAAGGAGAAATTAATTGAGGTGGGTGCTGCTTGTGAGATGGAGCTATGAGCATCCTGTACTGAACAGGTGGAGGCTGGCTTGCTGAGAACTTTTCCCTTCGTTAGAGATGAGCACAAGGATTTCAGCATCTATCGCCTGCTCCAGCCCCAGAAATGAGCAAGGGGACAGGCAAGAGCCAGATGCTGCAGTTTGGAGATGATCACTTGGAGACCCCAGCTTTTAATCCCCTCTCCAAGAAGCAAATCATCCCCAGCACTCCAGTGCCATTTACATCAAATGGCATGAATTAAGGGAGTCTGTGAATATTTGATTCCAGCCAGCCGCCCTCCAAAGAGAATACCCAAGCATCTCATCAAGAAGCTGCGCGTGTGTCTGCAGCCCCAAAAAAAACCCTTCACACTTCAGAGCGCTCTGGAAAATACACAACCAAAGCACTCGCTATTAGCTAAAGGGAATGTCCCCCTCCAGTGCAAAGGGTTTTTTCCAGATAGGGAATGGTTTGTAAATAAATACATTTATTAAAAGCGTGTAAACCCCAAGGAGGGAGAAGGGATGGGGCACAGCTGGTGGCCCAGGCTCATGGCCAACATCCAGCTCTCAGGAGCCCATCTCCAGCCCAGGGAAGGAGCTCCCAAGGACTCACTGTGGCTCATGCGATGTAATGTTTCCGAAAGGCAAGGAAATGTGTTTATAAACGCTGGCTGCCAGTGTCCTCGTGTGTGTTTGTACAGTACCTCTCCAGAGGCCGCCAGTCGAGGCGGGTGGGTTTATTGTTTGCATCTTGCATTTTGCCGTCTCACCTCGTGTCTTGCACAGCTTGCTTATAAGGTGTCAAAAATCATAAAGGGAATAGGGTAAAGAAATCTTGGGAATAACACCGATTGTTTTGGTTTTGTCCATTTTCTGTGTTTTGATCATGTGCGATGACATCATCACAGAATGACATCACCCTTCCTTTCTTGCATGGTGTCGCTAAGCTTTGCAATCGTGTCACTTGGTAATGTCGGGCTGACATGAAATTATCATAAAAATAACACAGAGAGACACGGAATGAAGCTGCGATGCCACGAAATGACTCTGCGATGGAGCGACGTTACTGAAGTGCATTACAACAACACCGAATGAAGTTCTGATGTCAAAGACGGTGATCGCTCGTCTAATAGCACAGAGTAAAACTACAAAAACGGCGACTCTATCACTGACTTATTTTCACAATAAGTAACTCTCGCTTTCTCATTCTCTCAATCACCACAACTTGCAGATCTTTGGTTATTTGCAAATGATCATTGCACTGAGCTGGGGGAGGGAGGGGGAGAAACGATTAAGAAAATGCAAAGCAGAAGTGAAAAGAAACAGATACATTTGCTAAAAAAGGACAGCACTATCCAGCGAAGAGGAGAAGCAGATTAATAGCTGCCTTACAGCAAAAACAAATGAACACAAAATCTAATTTACAAACCTATTAGATTTGCTATGTAAGCTGTTCACAGCTGATCTGATTGTACCTCTGCCTCCAGAACTCCTGCAAGACAAAGGAAATGCATTATTTATAAACCCAGCTCCTCTTTGCCAAGCATTGTTCAACAGTCAAGAGAACCTGCTCCGAAGGGCTCCGAACCGAGACACTGCCGAGCCGCTCGCATCCCACCCCATCCAGAAGGGAGACGTCCTGGTGCCTGCGAAGGGCTTTTCACATCCAGCGTCCCTGCTGCCGTACTGCAACCGTCAAATCATTCCAGAAAAAAAACCCCTCCTAACCAACCCAATTAATAATACCTGTGTGATCTGAGCAGCCATCAAAGACATCTGGTCTCCGTCATCAAAGCAGCATGCAGCCTACAGGTTGCATTAAATACATCTCTACTTGCTTTTATGAGTCAGGTGTTAGCAATGCATAGTGAAGGTCTCCTCCATCTCCAGGATGCCAAGGGACTTTCCCTGTCCTTTCCAGGTGGGGACTGAGCTGAAGGACCAGGACAGGATTCCCACCCCCGTGGGAATGGACAGCCAAAGTTTCCAGCACCTATATGATGCTATAATGAAGAACAGGTGGGACCAAGCCCCTTCAGAAACCAATGCCACTCATACGACCTGTGAAACTTCACTTAAAAATAAATACATACAAGTATTGGTCTGCATCTAGTTGGCTGCAGAGCGCCTTCTGGCTTGAACTTGCTATTTTCAAAGGGGTCACAAAAAACCAGTCACCCACTTGAGGATGCTCAGTGGGAGCTGGGCTCCTAGTCAGACACATTTTCACTGCCACATGCTCATTGCTCTGTTTTATTGTTTCCATTGCACAGATATCCAAATCAACACGCTCATAAAGAGAACCAAATTCTCCTCCAGCAGAAATATTGTTACCTGGAAACATACCTTATTGAAAATGTATCTCAGGAGCATGTATTTCTACCAGTTCTGAAAAAATCCCAAATGTATTAGACATAAATGAAAAAGAAATAGAGTGCACGAATGTTTGGTGCCATCAAAAAAGATTTCCAGGCTTGCGGGATGCGATGTAAATCCCTTCGTTAGGCTCAGCACAGTCCTCAGCACTGGGTAACATCAAACCCTTGCAAATGCCGTGATGGTTGTCCCTTTCCTCCCTCCTGCCGGAGACCATCTACAGCCAAGTCAGAGCAATTCCTGCTCCAACACTCTCCTCTTTCTTTTGACAAAACTGAGAGTCAGTGAGCGGTTTCATTTTTTGGTGCATCAAGGGAACAGCAGGACTAGCTTATTTCTAGAGCCTCCTGGCATTTAACAAGCCTCTGCTTTAATGGGGTTCACTGCGGGGTGTGGGAGCAGACTGGGTTAGTGTGCAAACCACGTGTCCTTTCAGAGATGTTTCCTCTGAAGGAGCTTTCCAAATGGTATTCACACTCCTTCACACTTGCCCAAGACAGACAGGGACTGGATTAATGGCTTAGCAAAAGAAACGCTGCTCCCTGAATAAGTGCTGGTTCACAATCTCTGTGAAAGGGGAAAAAAACCACCAAAACCCACAGAAATTAAGAAGTGGAGAAGACCTGTTAGCTCCCACTTCATCCATGTTTGCAGCTATGGCAGGACCAATCTGAAGCATCACAATGTATTATTCAAATGCATTTATCCAATCTAGCTTCACATCGCCCCAGCGACAGGTCTGTGCACAGCTCCTCCTGAAATTAAGGCAGGCATCAGGGCTGGAGATACTGGACGTGAGGAAGACTAGTTGGGAGCACATCTCTCACCTCCCTGTGTGCAGAGGTGGTGGGGAAGGAGATCAGCTGCCTGGATGCCCCCGTGAGCAGCCCCTCAAGGACAGCTTCAGGGGTTAATCTTTCCCTCTCACACACTGTGAAAAGCAAAAGTTTTCAAAATATTTTAATGCAAGCAGAGCACTAAGTGTTCTGCTGTCATATATGAACATGGAAGGGGTGTCTCATCGGTGGAGGAGACAGCAGGGCTCTGCTAGCCATCTCCCCATGGCTTGCTCCATGGCACTGGGCTCCCTGCTTTGCTGGCCAGGATGCTCTCACTGGACACCTGAGATGCTGGCAAAGACACTGCTCCCTGTAGCAGGCTTGGTTTCTCTCTCCAAGCCATGGAGACTGCCTGAAGCTGGGACATGATACTTGGCTGAAGGTCTCAGCTGGGTTAGTAAATCCTAAAATGCTCCTGTGGCTTCAAAACCAACATTGGTGTCCTACGCTGCAACTTCTGGACATCTTCCCTACAATCTCCCTTTGTACAGTCGAAGACAATGTGCACTGTGAATATAATACCCTGGGGTGTATTGACCTGTCCAACCATCCTGCCCAGCTCAGCCCACCAGCGGGTACCAGCCAGGCAAACCAGCTGCTCAGAACACCCAGAGCTGAGCCAAGCATGGTGTTTTCCAAGGTCTGCCATACTTCAGTACCAACACAGGCAAGCCAAGATCACTGTACTGCTTCACTTCCCCCACCTGGGAAGAGGAAAACATTAAGAAATGTAAGGCACTAATTGAGAGGCACATGTTAAAAAAAAAGCAAGTCAGCCCATTTTATTATACCTTGCTGACCTGGAGTTTCAAATCTCTTGGCTTCAAAAGCCAAAGACCAACCTCGATTAAAATTGCATTGATTTTGAAAAGCTTTCTAGTGCTACACCGTGTTTAGATTGAATTGCTTTATTAATCTAGTTGTTATCAGTTTGATTGTATAGCCAGCTCCACAAAGTACCAACCTGCTTCCTAATCCTATTATTTACAAAACGCTCTTCTTTTGACTTCTGTTGGGATGTTTTCCAGTGATAAGTTACATCTATATGTGCTAATGCCATATTACTGGCTTATGCCATCCTTTCTCATCTTTGCTTTGAGATTTTCAAGCTGCATTTCCACTATCTAAGACATTATATAGGTCAAAACATTCTGTGCTCAGATGTAAAGTGACACTGATTCATATATCACAGGATAAAAAAGAAAAAATGTCTTATGGTTCAGGTCCAAATTTTCTTGGATGAATAATTTCTGACAAATCAGGTATGCAAAGACTTTTCTCTTCACCCACTATGAATGGGCTGTTTAGGGTTTTTGCTTCCCTTTTCATCGCTTCCCACTTCTTAAATGATTCTCTTAATTGTTGCAAGCTACAGTTCAGTCTTGCTTCGAGCAACTTCGATATGTGAAATCAAAGCTGCTTTGACTGAGCAAGTAGGTCATACAGCCTCTTTGGGTGAGCGGATCTCTAAGAACAAGCTTTACACATCCATATTCTCAGCTTACAAATTAAAAAATGTGTTTTCCATGGATATTTTACAATGCCCGCCTCCAAGTCCTGCTTCCCCCCAGCATCTGTGGCAGACAATACACATGGGAAGCACATGGGGCACAAGAAGCATGAACCAGCTAGAAAATTCAGCCCTACCCAATCACCCATTTTGCCACATTTGTGAAGCCTAGACCTCTGCCTCTTCCTGACCTTGGCCAACCCAAGTCCTCCTCTTCTCCCTCCTCCACATAAAAGAGAAATAATAATCCCTGGGGGGACTGTTAAGCAGAATGTATCCATCTGGATTCCTCAGAGAGAGAGGTCTGAGTGCCACAAATTTCATATGAGGGGTTCAAATGATTAACACCTACTGATGAGAAGGTGTTCACAACCTGCTTTTGTGTTAGGTGCATTTTATGATCCTTGTTTTCCAGCTGGGACACTGGGTTGGATGCACCAACTGTCCTATTAAGTGAGTTAATTCATTTTGCTGACCAAGAGCAGGGCAGTCATTAAGCTAAGCCACGTGCTCCCCAAGTCCTCAAGGATTTTGTGCAGGATCCACTTGGGCCAGTGCTGGCTCGGGCCAGTGCTGGGAAATGTGGCCCAGGACACAGGTTTCAACCCTCTCTCCTCTTCCCTGAAATTCAGGCTTTGAATTTCCAAACCAGCAGAGCAGCAAAGGTGACTCCAGGGCTTTTTGGAGAAAACTGCCACATTTCCAAGTTGTCTATGAAAGAGAAATAATTGGCTTCCCAGTGCCGACCTGTGCAGCCTGTCCCGCATGGCAGAGATGCAAAGGTGTCCCAGGAGCCCAAACTGGGCAGGAACCGAGCCCAGAGGCTGGAAACCAGCTTTCCTCAGGGATTGTATCCTGGCTTTCCATCTTCACATCAGGGTCTTGCTGAAAAGAGGGAGAAAGGCCACATTCATCGGCAAGTCCCCTTGTGGGCTTCTCACTAGATGCTCAACTGGTTCCTGCGGGGTTTGGTCAAAGCCCACCCATAGCCATAAAATGCTCTGCTACCACAGGAGAGACAAACTCGGGGAGGAAAGGCTTCACTGCTGGTTAGCCCCACACATAAACCAACTTGCAAATTAGAACCAAAAGCCAAAGCCAGGCGAGAAGCAATGGGATCAGAGATGAACCTTGAGATCACATCCTCAAACACAACATCACGCGCTCTTCCCAACACCAGTCTTCCTCCATCCAGAAAAGCAGCTCTTACAGGGTCGCTTTTCATCTCACCTTCCTGCACCACATTTCATAACACACCCTGAGGAACCGGGACATCCAACACTTGCAGATCATTCCCTGTGACATTTCACCAGTTGCTTTTGAGGCTTGCATCCCGGGATGCAGAGGAGATTGCGATTAAGAGAAGTGGTGGCCATTGGCACCAACCTCTCCTGGCAAGAAAGATTCCCTCTGTAGGGACTAATTTTGAAGACATTTCCAAGGCTTTTTTCTGCTAGGATAAAAGATCCTGCAATACATCTTGATGAGACGTTTGAAATCACACTTCGATGTGTTTAAAATCTCACTTGTTCATATTGTCACAGCTTGGCAGCCCGAGTGTCAAAAACTTCCTAAATATCAGGCGCTATTTTTACTGCTTCCAAGTTTCATTCTTTCTGTCGAATCATAGAACGGCGTTTGGGAGAGTGTGCCCATATCACAATTTTCAGGAAAATCACCTTGCCCCGCTGGGGTCCTGATGTGGCTCCAGTACATGAGCCGCAGGGGCAGGGCTTGTGCAGCCAGGCTGGCAGCGTAGCATCTCCCAGAAAGCCAAGGAGACTCGGTGTAAAAGTGCCATCCGACGGCCTCACCACTGTTCACAGCACTTGCTGTTACCCTCCACGGGAAACGCAGCTCTGTCAGCCTCATGCAAACCAGCCTCTCTAATTTGGTCACCTCCTCCCGTGCCCCAGTCCCACCTCCATCACGTCACCTATCCTGCAGGCTCCTTCCCAGGGACCACAACAAGATGGGAAGGTCAGAGGTGCTCAGCATCCCTACCTGTCGGGTGGTAACCACGGCTCCACATCAGCTCCCATGTAAATGAGAGCAGGATTTGGCCCTGAGATTTCTGCCTGGCTGCAAATCACTGTGTGTAATTATTGCGAGCGTACGCCGAGGACGCAGGAACCAAGACACATGAGTCTGCAAAACAGAGACACCTATTGCTTAATAGGCAATAAGCCAATTAGGCTGAAATGCTTATGTGACAAAACCAGGGAAAAATAGCACAGCTCCGATGACTAAAGGACAGGAGGCATCGGGAGGGATGCCCACAGCTGCCTGCCACCAGGACACTGCTTGGGGACCACTCTGCACTGCGGGAACTGGAGCACCACGACCAAATCCCTGTCCCTGCCTCCAGCTACCTGCCCTGAAGGACCTGTAAGGGGCAGGAGGATGCTTGAAGCAGCCTGATGGTTACCAGTGCCCCAGGGGAGCCACGGTCCAGGATTTTTGGGCTCTGCCCTCAAGCCAGCATGCACTTTCCCTGAGCCAGAAAAGTCTCTCTTGCACCTGTAGAGCATCAGGTCTCACATCCACAAGAATTCACCATAACAACAGCATGGCCTGACTCGATCACCCCACGATGCTCTTGTTTTATCGCTGCTCTAAAGACAAAACACTCACGCACTAGCAGGGCTCAAATGTCACACACGTCACTTCTCCCCATCCTGTGCACCGCCAGGACCTTATTCCTTCCTTCATCTCAGGTCTTTCATTAGAAGTTTATTCCTGGCATCAGTTCAGTTTCTCTGGCTGCCTTAATAAAACAGCCAGCAAAGAAAAAGACATTGAGGCAGGCAAAAGGATCCAGCGAGGGGCTTGGGACTAGGGTGGGTGTGTTTGTGTATTTAGCTTTTCCTTTCTGGAAGGGAGAAGGAAAAAACCCCAAGAGCCCAGCAAAGACCTAGAAAGGAGCCGAGACAAAAGCCTCACTGCTTAAAAAACATGTCTACACTATACATTCTTACACTGATAATTTTTTAAGCCAACAGAGCAGCGTTATCAGGGAGCGCAAACAACAGAGCATCAGTCTTGCAGCAGATCCTGTCACCCTGAGCATTTGTGTCCCAAAAGACAGAAATCCCAGCGGCTCCTGCAGCATCTTGGATGCCACGTACCTTGGGAAATGGGAATGGTGCAATACCAAAAGATATCATGTCTGAAGGGCTGTGGGTCCTCGGGCTCATCCTCCCACATCCATCTCTTGCCTGCTTCTCCCACTGCTCTGCGCAGCCCCCAGGATACTCAAGGTCTCAGGTGATTTCTTCTTTCACTGTTGATGTGGATGCTGAGGACCTCTCCTGGGCAGTAACCTCCTCCTGGGGTGGTTTGTCTCTACGACCATCCTCAAAATAACATCTGGTGCCTACACAAAGAGGGCTGGGAGCACCTGGATGAGACCCCGCAACCAACAACGGCCCCTGCTATTTGCCCACCATCACAGGCACTCACTAGCAATAGAGCCATCCCAGGACCTTCACAGGGACACAGTCCCCAGATGACAATATCCAGATACCAAAAATTGAAAAGCCAACAGTAGTTTCAGAGCTTGGCCTCTTCTCTCCTCCCCTGGTTCATAAAGCTACACCATGGAAATCCAGGTGGCAGGAAGAAGGAGAAGTTTAATTACGAGCTGAGCAGCTGCTGGCTGACAGTCCAGTGTGCTTCTGGGTGTCTGAAAAAGTGCTGGAGATGCATTATGACGATGCTTAACCTTCACAGGGGAAATATGTCCCCTGCAGTAGCCACTGGCCAAGAGCTGAATTATATTCCTGAGGATGCTGGTGAAGCCTGGGCTGGGAGGTGACAGGTCATGGTGGAAGAACCGTCCTTCAACTCCAAGCTGGCAGATGTACAGGTGATACCTGGACCCCACTGCCATGTGGTTTGACTGAAGGAGGCCTTGACAGAGCACTTCAAACCTGTGTCATGACCATGACAACACGTGCTTTTAAAAGCAGCCCTGGATGGGGAGGGATGGTGTGCTCAGCATGCAGCTGGCCAGCCTGAGTTTTTTTTTTTGTGTGTTTGTTTGTTTGTGATATTCCCAGTGGATTGCTGTATGCAATTACAAGAGGTTTATTTGCAGTAGCAATAAGAAAGAGTCCAGTGCCACATTTGGAAAAAGC